GTTTTTACAGTAACTAAAAAATATTTTTAATTAAATTTTTGAATTTTGTATAATAATTCTTGCATTAATTAAAACTGAATTTAAACTAAAATTATATTTATCTATAATTTTATTTTTGTAAAATGCGGATTACCCTAATTTAACTTTGGGGAAATATTTGGTTAAAATTAATGTTTCATCCTTTACAATTGTGTTCAAATTTTAAAATGTCCCCACTATTTTTTTTTAACATCTAACTTTTCATTTATAGAACTTTTAAGATTACATAATTCATACAGAGGAAAAAAAAATACAACCAAATACATAGCTAAAATTATAAAAAACAAAAGATGCTTTTATCCAAAAGTCTTACTTCCTAACAGTATAGTAACTCCGTTAATTTCTTTCCACATATTCGCATTCGATCTGATGCGATCTTCATCTTTGGTTATCACTGTTTCAGTGAAACTACCAAACACCAATTTTTTTTGTTGTATTACATTTGCCAGCTTCTGAGTTAGATCTATAAGAACCCAATGTATTGATTCTTTCGATAGAAATAAACATTCGGACTGCCAATTTTCAACGATTATACGAATATCTCCATACAACAAAGAGAACATATATTCATCTCCGACTCGCCATTTTCTCCATTGTGGTTTCCATAGCGGTCGTTTCCAGAGTAATGTCGTTATCTTCTCTATCACCAAATTGTTTCTTCTCCCTAAACATGATTTCCCAGGATCCCATATCCGCCGACCTAGACACCATATTATTCTTTGAATTTTATACTCAATCCCTTCACATGAACAATATCGAGTATATGGATCATCATGGAGAGTCGCAAAATCCTTCACGGAGATAACATATTCAATTTGAGTGAAGCCATAGAACCAACCCACCCCAAAGAACCATGATGAAGTCGTCTCCTCTATCGGAGAGTGTTGTAGGAATTGGACACAAAGTAAGGTCTGAGAGACTTGAAACTTGTTGAACCATTATCATCGTTGCAAATCGCATCAGAATCACCACAACAAGGAAGAGATATAGAAGGACACGATATAACCATCGTCGTATAAAGGTCAAATTCATTGTTGAATCAATGACCATGATTCTTTGTGGAATCTCGACTTACATAAACATTGCCGGAGACCAGAGAAAATTACGCCTAGAGTCCGTGATGAAACAACCACGACGAAACGAAACTGTCTTTTCAATCGCCCTTAACAGTCTTTGCTCTCTCTGTAATTGAGATATTTGTAACATGTCCCCAC